AGAAGAGATAGAGAGAGAGAGAGAGATACAGTAAATGCGGCAGCGAAGATGGAAGTCAATAGCAAGGCAGTTAAATTGGAATCCATGGAAAAGCTCTCACTCTCAGCATCCATAAATGCGTACAGAGTATGCGTATGATGGCATTGAAGGAGGGGAGAGGGCATTGATGATGGAGGGCGGGGCGGGGCGGGGCATTCACGGGACACGCTATTGGTGAGGGAGAAAGACACGATTCCTCCACCCATCTCATCCTCCACCCACCCACCCCTCCCCTTGCCTCTTATGGTGTTCATGATTTTGTTTAGGAAAAATTGATATAAATATTCCCCAGAAATTCAAAATTTTACAATAATACTCTCAAATTTAATAAAAGACTCTGGTGCTCTCAATTAAACTATAAACTTACATTACTACTCCCATTATGTCTAATCAGCTTTTCTTACGCTTACATGTAAGTAATTATGCTTAGTTGACATCTTAGTTGTTTTTTTGTTTTAATAAGAGGAAAAAATTATATAAATACTCCCTGAAATTCAAAATTTTACAATAATACTCTCAAAACCAAATAAAGACTCCAGTTCTCCCAAAAGTATATTCTCATTGCACATTATTATATTTGACTGAAATCATTTTTAAAGTATTTTATATAAAAAATGGTGTGAAATTAAAAAATAAAAATTACATTTTAAAAAACTAATATAGTAATATGTAAAAATAATTTTTTAGTAATATTAAAGGTTAATTAATTGAGCTTAATGGGCATCTTAGTTATTTTTTATATTTTAATACAAAATATTCCTTCTGTCCACTATTAAGAGTATTAACAAGATCAAACTTTATTTATTTTGCTTACCTATTTTAATTATATATTTGATAAAATAATATAATTATATCATTACTAGTTTTATAAATCTTATGATGTAGTTTTTAGATATATAATTCTATTTTTTGATTTCAAACCACGTTTATGAAACATCGTAACACGTAAAAGGAAGATATTTTTTAGAGTGTTGGAGTCTTTATTTGGTTTTGAAAGTATTATTGTAAAATTTTGAATTTCTGAGAGTATTTATATAATTTTTTCCTCTTATTAAAACAAAAAAACAACTAAGATGTCAACTAAGCATAATTACTTACATGTAAGTGTAAGAAAAGCTGATTAGGCATAATGGGAGTATAGTAATTGATGGAAACCGCTTTTCAGGGCGTCGACCCGACGATATCGGTACCGGGTCGGCACCGCACCGAATAGCGAAATTCGGAAATTAAATAAATAAATAAAGCGGAGAGAAAGTATTTATACGTGGAAACCCAAATCGGGAGAAAACCACGGGCCTTTTTAGGCGGTGTCATGCCAAAGGGGAGGAACCTTTATTAATCTCGGGGAAATTTACATATACATCATTGTATGAGCTTGGAGCCATTAATGGAGCTCCAAGCTTAAAGAAGAAGAAGAATGAAGAATTGTAGTAAGTTGTAGGAATCTGGCCTCTCTCTTCCGTTCCCCTCTTTCTTGTGTAAATGTCCATTATAAAGGGAAGTACATGCATGCATCCCAACAATGCCATGAGGTGGCCATGTCACCTCCATATGCATATGTTTAGTATATGGGCTCCACGGGATATTTTCACATCACTTCAAATATATTCTTCTATCCATATATCTCTGGTTCCATCTTGAATAATTTATCTGATTTATATCTTGGACCAGATAAAATTGGGCTTTCTTGTACTGTTCAAATGATATTGGATTAGGAAAAATCCCTAATCCATCAGTAATGTAAACTTATAGTTTAATTGGAAGCACCAGAATCTTTTATTAAATTTGGGAGTATTATTGTAAAATTTCAAATTTCTGGGAGTATTTATATCACTTTTTCCTTTTGTTTAACATATACTCCATACCATACAACTAGTTGTATGGTGTTTCTCGTACATCCATGGATAATGCTCATTTACAATTAACTGAATGCTGGTTTTTGAATAAGTGAATGCTCATTCTCGAGTAATTGAATACTTATTTCTGTAAAATTCAATTATGCTCGAAAATGAGTATTCATTAATCGAAAATGAGTATTCAATTACTCAAAAATGAATATTTATTAGTTACTCGATAATGAGTATTAATGAGATGGATGTATAGAGATATACCGTACAACCGGATGTGTGGTATAGCCACTTATGATTTTCACACCACTTGTTTTAAGAAATTTTGAGTCATTTTACATAATTAATCCGATAATTAGATCTGGTTTGGTTGGGGAAATGAGGAAATCATTATTTAAATTTTTTTATTTTCTTCGATGTGATAATATGAGTGATACTAACTCCATCCTTTAAACTTTTTCTGTTTTAACTTTTGGAATAGGAAATTGTAGAAATTTGACCTAGATAAAATGATAATAATTGAAAAGAGTGGGACTCAGAAAATATCAAAATAAATAGAACGTAGAAGGTAGTTGAGATCATTTAGGGCTTTTGCTACGGGCACTAGAAAAAGAAATGATTTTCGATAATTCATTCAAAAAAAATTATTAAACAGCATTTAAAAAAATTGTGACATTGGCGCTACACTTTTTTTACGTTATGCAAATAATTCGAAGGAATTATCAATAAAATTGCTTCACAATTTTTCTTGGGAGATAGTTTGTTACCCAATATCGCACCTATTGTTTCATAGAATTTTTAATGTAATTTAAAAAAATGAATATTTTATTTTTTTAAATTTATCTCAATTTTTAAATAGATTGTATTGTAATAATTTATGTCAAATATAATAAAGCCACACAGTTTCAATTGGAATAATGATACTCAATCTGTTTGCTATAGATCTTTTGAGACACTGTTCACAGAGTCAAACTTAACTCACTATGTTTGCTTATTTTTACTACTCATTTCATAAAATAATATAGTTTTATCACCTCTAGCTTTGTAAAATTATACATATACTTTTTTAATATATAAAATATATTTTTAAAATTTTAATTTTACAATCAACTAAACTAAATTGAAAATAAAGTCGATCAAACCTTGTAACTCGTAGTAGGAAGATCTTTGGTAGACGGTGGAAGTAATATTTTGTAGTCCTCGTGTCCAAACCTATGCTTGGAGAAATGGATATTGGAAACCTAGGCTTCATAAATTTTTTGTTATGACAGGCCATCTTTAACCCCTCTTTAAGTTATCTTACTCCGTAATTTTGTTAGAAATAGATTTGAAGTCCCGGACCTCAAATCAAGGCTTCAAACCTATATTTTTTAAATTTTTAATACATTATTTTGTATAAATGAAATAATAAGATTTCATTAATTAATTTAATTTACACCGCAATTATTCATTAAATAAAAAAATTACATTCAATAAAAAAAGAACATTAAATTTTAAAAAAATTACAATAATCAAAAAAACTAAATCTCCTTTTCGGTGCACTTGATTCTAGTTGAGTTTCTGGAACTGACCATGGGTCCTCCAGATTCACCGAGGTTTGAGTTTGAAAAACATCAGATCATTCATGTACGTTTGGTAAAGCCACATCGCGTACTCATTCGGGTCAAGACGGGATGCAGAATCAAAGGGATTCATGATAAAAATTTTAATTTAAGAGAGAAAGATATGGAATATGAGAGAGAATAGAGAATTGTATGAGAGAATGAAAATATTCCATAATCCATCTTGGCCGTAATTTCATTTTTCAACTCAATAAAATTTAACACATCTTCAACTTCAATTCATAACTTTCATCCCTCATCTTTCTCAATTCACTTTCATCTCATTCAATTCATTTTCTCTCCAATTTTCATTATTCAAAGTGAATTTCACGGGTAATATCTCCAGCTTTGATAATTCCGAACTCGATGTCGTCATTTGATTTGTAAACTCTAGTTCTTTACTTGGCGATAATTTTTCTATGTTCTCGGGTTCCAACGATAGTCCCTACCAATTACTGGCCGTTAATACGACTGACTATGACGTTTCTAAGTTGGAGCCCATGATCGGGGGCATTAGCAAAGGAAAGGCCAAAAAGACTGGCCGGCCGAAGAAGTATACTCCGTTGGAAAGGCTGACATTGGTGAAATACTACATTGACGTGTTGGAGGAGGCCATCGTCGGCAACTACTAAAAATTTAAAATGTTTTTGGAGTGTGTTGCGGCGAAGTTTAACGCCGGAAGGTCGGATGGTACGCCCGTGCGTTACAGGAGATGCTTTGGAAACACAGGAGCCGTGTGCAATCGAAAGTCCCAAACTTCTGTGGCTAATGTGCCAACATCTCAAGTTTCTAGGAAATCTAAAAAATCCTACAAATGAGCCCTAGATTCAGCATCGATGCTGAGGCGGGAGGATTAGGACCGAAGTGATCTAAACTCTCCGAGATTGGTTCGTACTCGACGAGCATGAGCAGATATTACATTGACCTCAACGCCACAAGAGACGACTTCGTCCATGGATTGGGCGACGAATCCATTGGTCAAATCCACCGAATCAGGTCGAAGGCGGCAAAGAAAGGGAAGGTGAAGGTCAAGACAACGACTCCTAGTATGACATTGATAAAAACACTTTTGTGTTTCTGCACTGTTAGGGAATTAATTCTCTTAATGGTAGTTCTACTGACCTTATCATAAGTCCTAAGAGATCTAGGAGACCATGACTCCTTGAGTCAACCAATGATTTTAAACTCAGATTCGAGGTCGATTCGGGTCAATCTGGATTTTTCCGAGTCGGCCTGGTTTTTTGCTACTTTTTCCGGATTTGGGGTGGGGGGATTGGACCAAACTGGTGGTATGTCTAGGTCGCGGTTCCACCGTTTGATAGGTCGAACTGTCCGGGCCGGTCCAGATTTAATAACACTGAAGTGAAGTGATCGAACTGTTCGGTCGAGTCCCGGTTTAATAACACCAGAACTTCCTTTACAAAGGATTTTTTTTTTTTTTGTTTTTTTTTTTGCAAATGAACCAGTCTCCCTAATCACCAGCAAGAAGTCTCAATAATATCTCACCGGAATCAATTCTGCACACATGGAAGCCGACAGCTTAACCGTAACTTCAAGAAAATCTCCTCTTTATGTTATTCTTCATTTCTATCGTATTTTATCAAATTATTTGCATTTTTAAATCATTTACGCCTCGATTATGGAAATCTGTAGCCCCGAGGGAATTTGGATCATCGAAGTGAACTGTAATCTATATGTTTTCCGGTTCATTGATCGGTTCAGAGTGTAAATTAGTATGAATTATTTGAAATGACAGCTCCAGTATTCAAAGATTGTGCGCAATTCACATGCGTTTCCATTGAATTGTTGGATTTATCAGGGTACCACGGAGTGGCGAGATTACGGAAAGGAAGAGATTCATGACTGTGTCATCAAGCTGGTTAGTCTGTTTTCTGGTTATATATACATGAGTTTATGTTCAATTTTGGGAGTAGTCGTATGATGTGAATGCCAATTACAGAGGCCCAATCCTCAGAGACGGAAAAATGAAGTTTTTATTGGCTGTGGTGCTGGTTTTGGGGGCGATCGACCTATGGCAGCCCTAAAATTGCTTCAGAGAGTAAAGGAATTAGACTATCTTGTATTGGAGTGTTTGGCAGAACGTACCCTTGCCGAGCACTATCGGTCAATGACGTCTGGTGGCAAGGGTTATGATCCCCGTAGTACGTTTGTAATATTTATGGTTATTCACTTGATGCTTCTAGTATATTTGCAGAGTAGTATGTGCGTACATTTCAAATTCTTCTTGCATCATTTATGTAGTAGACTAGTAGTGTATCATAGTTGCAAAATTGTTGGTAACTTTGAGTAACTTACACAGTATCTGAGTGGATGCAATTGCTCTTACCCTTGGCTGTGGAGAGAGGAGTTTGCATTATTACCAACATGGGTGCAAGTAAAGCTCTCGTTATCACTCGCGCGTTCTTGTATGTGTTTGTGGATTTGTTTTTTTAAAAAAATTAATATCAAAATATTTCTCTTTGTGATCCGGCTGAAGAGAATCCATGTGGTGCTCGCAATGAGGTTTTACGAATTGCTAGCAGACTGGGCATCAGTATTACAGTCGGTTTGGCCTATCAGCACAAAGTCTTGAAATCTGGTAATTTCACACATATAAATGATAACAAGAGAGAGGATTAAGAATCTAGTATCCGTTTGTGACTTCATTTTCTTCCTTCTTTTACTTGCAGATTTGAAGGATGTTCTGAGAGATGATGATGCTGTAAGGTTTGCTTATCCTTAGAATACATTTCAGTAATTTACATGAACTAGTGTTGTCGTTAGTTTTCTTTTAGTATATGGATAGCTATTCTGAATCGTTGGTTCAAGCATACAATAACAACAAACCCATTAGAAATCCGACAAAGTGAGATTTCGGGAGTGTGTACGCACTACACAGCCTTTAGAGACTAGAGTCTAGAGAGACTATTTCCAACAGACACTCGAGCCTTCCAAGTCTTCTTAAGTCTACCACTACCTCTCCTTACGCTTACCTCAAGCTTCTCACACATCTCCACAAGGGCATCTGTACTTCTCAGTATGTGCCCAAACCATCTTAAGTATAACTTCTTGCAACTTATACTCCACAGAGACCACTCCCATCCTCCCCCGTGTATCCTCATTTTGGATCCTCTCCATCCTCATATGACCACACTTCCACCTCATCCTCAATATCCTCATCTTTGGTTCAAGCATATTGATCACAATATATTCTTTGCTCTTCTTCTTTCCATTATGGTTCTTGATCACATTCTTTTTGTTTCTCTTTTTTAAAGCAAGGACAATGCTCATATGGACTATGGAGTATATATCTCTTAGAAAGGAGATGTTGATCCTTTTTGTGTCCCTGATTTTATGCAGGATGTTAGCGTGTATCTGGGAGCAGCTCCAATTGTGGAGTGTCTTGAGAGATATAGACCAAATATTGTTATCACTTCTCGAGTTGCAGATGCTTCCTTGTTCTTGGGTCCGATGGTATGGAGTTGGTTGATATTTTTATTGCCTATTTGTCCTGAGTTCAGAACTGAAAATATAATTAGGTGTATGAGTTGGGCTGGAACTGGGATGAAACAAAGCTGTTAGCCCAAGGTTCACTAGCTGGGCACCTGCTGGAGTGTGGTTGTCAGCTCACAGGAGGATACTATATGCACCCAGGTGATTTCTTCATTAAACACTGCATATAAAATACTCCGTAACATTTAAGGTCCATTTGGAACTTGTAAATTGCCAAGAAAACAAAACATAGCAGAAGTGTGGATGGAGAAAATGTTTCGAATTCAATCTATCAATTTTAGATATTTATTCAAACTCATGTTATTTAAATATTTCTATTATATGAAGACTGTGAGCCCTGGGTCTTTTAGAAACATCTTTTAACAAGGGGTAAGGTCTGCGTACACGTAACCCTTAGATCCCATTAGTGGGACTTCACTGGGTAGGTGATTTCACGGGGTATTAGGTAAATAGAAGAATATTAGTTACTTTCCATATTTGCCCCTAACTTTATAATTATTAAAGTAAAGTAGGTGAGATAGTAGAGATGATGTGATAGGTGTACAGAAGGGTAAGAAAAACTTTTTACATCTTAATAACTACTCCCTCCGTCCCAAAAAGATTTACACGTTTCAAAAAATTTTTGTCCCACAATCCCTTACTCATTTCTATTAAAAAACCAATTTTACCCCTTACTTTTTCAAACCCTACCTATCACATTATACCTTTTTCCTAATAATCTACACATCACATCCTACTTTTACCCATCACATGAAGGGTATTTTGGAAAGTCAACACAAAATTATCTCTCCCTTAATTTCAACTTTAGTCAAAATGGGTAACACTTTATGGGACGGAGGGAGTATAAATTTGGAAGTGTAAAGAATTTAATGGGACAACAAAAAATTGCAAGTAGAAAGAATCCATGGGAACAGAGGGAGTATAGGCTAAGAATTCTAGATAGTGGATATATATAAACTTTAAAAAAATGATCAAATTTGATTTTACTTCATATTAAGATAAAAACAAACTTAGAATACAATTTTCTTTAGTAATTCCCCCCTACCATTTTGGAATTCCAAACATAGCCATGGTATTTCAGGAAGTCTTTAAAGGGGGAGGTGCAAGTTTGCAACCTTGCTTTGATTTTGTCATTTTTGTTTTCATATTTTGACACTGACTTATGCGACATTTCTGTAGGAGACAAATACCGAGACATGTCTTTCCAAGATCTCTTGGATTTATCACTCCCATTTGTGGAAATCAAATATGATGGTTCAGTATGTGTGGCGAAGGACGATAGTAGTGGTGGGTTACTGAACTCCAGCACTTGTGCTGAGCAGCTTTTGTATGAGGTTGGGGATCCTGGAAAATACATTACCCCTGATGTTGTAAGTATTGCCTTCGGGTTCTTTGTGCCATCTGGTTTACAACACAACCCAATAAGGCCCCACAAATGGGGTTCGAGGAGCGTGTGTGTACACAAAATTTACCCCTACCCATGGAGGTGGAAAGGCTATTTCTGAAAGACCCTTAGATAAAAAAAAAGGAGACACAAATCCTTCATCTGATTTGATAGGGTATATAACACGCCTGAGTAAAATGTAGTTGTAGATTTGGAGGTTTGAATTCTTCATCTTTCCTTTGATACAGATTGTAGATTTCCAAGATGTTGTATTTCAACCAATGTCGAAGAATAAGGTCCTCTGCACTGGAGCAAAACCACATGTAGAAGTGATACCTGATATGCTGTTACTGCTAGCCTCAAAGGTACTTCATCTGTGTGTGCGTGTGTGTGTGAGAGAGAGAGAGAGTATTTGTCTTTCTCTTCCTAGTGGAATACAGCGTTGCTGACTTGCTGTTGTAGATATTGGCATAGAGCGTCTTTAATTTAAACTTTTCTTCATTTTCTTTTGACCTCAGCAAAGAAGAGTTGTACAACTATAGTTTATTACTCCGGACTTCCCTATGTCTTCGTACTTAATATTCATCTGGCTTTTGCCTTGTTCAACAGGATCATGGTTGGAAAGGGTGGGGAGAAATATCCTATGGGGGTTATGAATGTGTAAAACGTGCTGAAGCTGCTGAATTCTTGGTTAGTATAGTCTGTGTTCTTTACACTGTTCTTTGGGGGG